CTCCTGCTTATTACCGTCCAGACACCCGCTCCTACTTATTACCGTCCAGACACCCGCTCCTACTTATTACTATCCAGACAATCCACTCCTAGTTATCACTATCCAACCATCCACTCCTAGTTATTATTACTCCTAGAGAAATGAAAGCCTAGCTCTGTATAAAGACTCTTTTTTGTTGTTTTTTTTGAGATGGAATTTCACTCTGTCACCCAGGCTGGAGTGCAGTGTTGAAATCTCAGCTCACTGCAACCTTTGCTTCCCAGGTTCAAGGGAGTCTCCTGCCTCAGCCTCCCAAGTAGCTAGGATTACATTTGACCACCACCATTCCCAGCTAATTTTTGTACTTTTAGTAGAGATGGGTTTTCCCCATGTTGGCCAGGCTGGTCTTGAATTCCTGACCTCAGGTAATCTGCCCACCTCGGCCTCCCAAAGTGCTAGGATCACAGGCATAAGCCACCAAGCCTGGCCTCTGTATGAAAACTTATATATATATAATTCACAGCAGCTTTATACATAGTATCTATGAACTAGAAGGAAAATTCTGATATAGGCCTACAGTGGATCACTATGCAGCAGTAATAAAGAACAAAGGGATACATGCAACATGGATAAATCTCAAAACGATCCTGTAGCATTTGAGAGGGGAAAGGGCAGATCCGTGATTGCAGGAGGACGGGCCACCAAGGGCACAAGACAGAGTCAGGACGAATGCTGTGTCCACCCTGCCTGCAGATGGTCTTATGGATAAATAAGCATGTCCATGTGAAGATTCATATGCAAACGTTCCTAGCACCTGTTATGTACACTACATAGATATGGATATATATTTATCAATTATGCAGTGTAAACATGTAGTTTATTGTATATCAATTATACCCAAATAAAGCTTTTTTTTTGAGAAGGAGTCTCACTCTGTTGCCCAGGCTGCAGTGCAACGGCACTATCTTGGCTCACCGCAATCTCCACCTCCCAGATTCAAGCAATTCTCCTGCCAGAGCCTCCTTAGTGGCTGGGATTATAGGCATGCACCACCATGCCTCGGTAATTCTGTAGTTTTAGTAGAGATGTGGTTTCTCCATGTTGGTCAGGCTGGTCTCGAACTCCCCACCTCAGGTGATCCGCGCACCTCGGCATTCCAAAGTGCTAGGATTACAGGTGTGAGCCACTGTGCCCGGCTCATAAAGCTGTTTTTTAGGCCAGGAGTGGTGGCTCAAGCCTGTAATCTCAGCACTTTGGGAGGCTGACGCAGGGGGATCATATGAAGTCAGGAGCTCAAGACCAGCC